ACCTATTATAATCACATGATCGACTTAAGAAATGGACCCCATTTCATTTTAATCTGATTTCATTTTAATCTGCCACAATAATTAACTAACTTATAAAATAATCTGAAATAAAATTAATATTTGATAAGAAAGTTATAATTATTATAAAATTTCTTTTTAAGAAAATAATTTATAGATATAAATATCTAAAAAAATTTAATTAAATAATAAACTAGAATTTATTAATGAAATAATTAAGAAATTATTAACTAAATTTGAAATCAAATAAAAATTTTCTTTATTATATTAATCACAAACTAATAGAATAATAAACTAATTTAATAGATTATTATATATCATTTTATAAAAATTAATAATAAATATATTATTCTAGTTGCTCTTTTTATCTATAGAATAAATCAAAATTTAATAATAAATTATGAATTATTTTTTCTAACTTATAGATAAAATATTAGATTATTAATTAAATTAAAAATTTCTACTTATTTAAAAGAAAATTTTATAAAAGAAATAAATTTTTATAATAAATATATCATATAGTAGATTAACTATCTTAATAAATTATAAAAATAAAATAAAACATTAAAGAAAGATAATTATAATATACTTAAAGATATAATAATAAAATTCCAAAAAATTATATTTAAATTAGAAAAAAAGTATTATTATTTAATATAAAATAATATTTAGTAATTGAAATAAATTTCAGCTTACTTAAAGTAGTAAATAATATTATATTCATAATTATACTAGATATAATTCTTATAAATCTCAAACTTATAATAGAAAAATACTTATAAGAATATACTTTATTTTTATATTATTCAACTTAAAATTTAATTTCTATCTTATTTTATTTATTCTTTTATATTTATATTATATTAAAATCTTAATATTAATATAATACTTTTAGTAGATTAGAAAATATATATATTTTCTTTTTATTCTTTATTCTTTATTTCTTTTTTTATATTACTTATTTTATTTATATTTCTTTATCTTATTACTTTATAATATTTATTTTATTAATATATTTCAATTATTAACTTGAATTTTGATTTAAATTATCAAACTTCTTAAAAAATTATATCAAGAGTTACTTGTTTAGTAACTCTTTGAAATACTTAATATTTTAATTTTTGAATTAGTTATAAATAATAATAAAGAACAAGAATCTTATATATCTTTTTTGAATTTAAATTTAATCAATTAATCTAAATTTACTAAAGATAATAAAGTAAATAATCTTATTTTTTAAAAGTTCAACTCTTAACTAAATCTATCAAGTTACTTAATTTGATTATATATTTAAACTTTGATTAGTTATGTAAATTTATTATTCTTGTTTAAGAAGATGAATTTGAAAATATTCTTTAAAAATTACAGAAGAAGAAATAAAGTTTATAAATTCTGATAATTCATCATCAACTAAAGAAAAATCTAAGTTACTTATTAATATTTCTCAAATATATAAGTAAAAGAAATTATATCTTAAATATATATTGAATTTAATATTTAAAATTTATGAAAAATATTAATATTAGATTATTAATAATTGAAATAAAGTTATTTAATCTAATAAATCAAAATTTTTAATTTTTAATTTGAATAAATATAAATATTACTGAAAAAATAATAATAAATTATCAAAAGAATATTATTTGAAATTAATAATAAAATTTAGAGCTGAAAATATAATAATTTGAAGTTACTTTTTATTATTTAATATTGACTATATAATGATAACTCAAAGTAATATATCAGAGACTGAATTTATTAATAAAATATAGTAAAAATTAAAATTTTCTCTTTATATTAATATTAATATTTATAATTTTATTAAGAATGATTTTTATTTTTATATCAAAATAAAGTTTATCTATTATAGTTTAATATATATTTTTTTCAGATTTTTTAGATTTTTTCTGAAAAAGTTATTTTAATTACAAATTTAAGATAAAAATTTTTATTGATTAAATTTCATTTTTAATTAATAAAAATTTTTATATTAACTTTGCAATTAGAATAACTCTTTCAGAAAAAATCAAAAAAATCTGAAAAAAATATATATTAAATTATAACTGATAAACTTTATTTTGATATAAAAATAAAAATTATTTCATAATAAAATTATAAATATTAATATAGAAAGAAAGTTTTAATTTTTACTATATTTTTTAATAAATTTATTCATGCTATATCATGTATATTTATGATTATATAAATAAGAAATTATAAAATCTTAAGTAATCATCTTTTAGAAACAATTTGGTGATATAATATTAATAAAAATAATATTATTTTTCAATAAGATAACAATTTGAAACACATGCTAAAATTTATATATGATTGATTTGATGTTAACACTATTTGTTTACTTGATTGATCTATTCAATTGCTTGATTTTAATACAATTGAATGTCTCTAAAATAAATAGACTGTTATTTGAAAAGGTTATTAATTGGCATTCATATCAAGATCAATTCTGGAATGCAATAAAAAAAATTTGGATTGGGATTGATAATGATGTTAATTGAAAGTATGGAAGAATGTATTCAAGAGTAGAATACTAAATGATAATTAATATTGAGATTAAAATTTCATAAATTTATTTAATTTATTGTGTAATTTCAAGTTTTATTTTTATTTATCAAAATGATCAAAAGAAATAAATCGCTTGATTTGATGTAAAATGGGTTTAATTTTTTTTAAATTTATGAAATAAAAAATAAATCCATATACAGGCATTAAAATGAATCTATTTATATATTGATTGAAGTTGTATATGAAACGTTACTATATCAAGAAATCTATCATCTGGGTGTATGTTGATTGAGTAGTTCACGGAGAGATTAAGCAAGTATTAATTTTCGATGTATTAGTGATCAAGGTAGCGACACCAATATTGAAAGATCGACTAGAGAACTCAACAAGAGGTCGAAATAGACATTGACAAAAGAAGAGACAATTCGACAGGAGTTCAGATTGGTGATCAAAAATAATAAAATAGGTTAGTTAGTAAAATTCCAATATCATGGAAAAAGTACTCAAAGTACTCCGTGATTGTACAGACCAACAGTTTACTCGATCCACCAGGTACTGTAACGCCGGCTAATAATAACATTATGATGAAATTCAAAGATTATAAAATTTACAAATTCAGAAATATTATTATTGCATTGGTAACAGTACGACTCCAATTCTTATCCAAAAATTAACATTAGTTGTCAAAATATGCATGCAAGTCATTGTAAGTATTAAAGAAATAACGTATTTTTTAGTTGACAAGAATACGTCACTTAAATAGCAACAAATGCCCAGGTATAATTAAAGCTAAGAGGATTAAATTTAGAAAGCAAAGACGAGAACTGGAAAAGAAATACGAAGCATTAACGAACTCCCCCACTAAATTGGTTAGTGTAATCAGCAAAGCGATTTGAATTCTACGTCTTTGCGTCATGGATATATGTCATTATTATGGCAAAAAATTACTAATGGAATAAGAGTAACATAATTTTTGGAATTAAAGAAATTATTGAAATACGGTAACATCTGACCTAGCAAAATTGAGCTCCATCGAAATTTATTGTAACAGATGAAACAATTTCGTCAGATTGGAGCTGAAAATACTATCTGGCTTTAAAGTTAGTTGCTCGTCTAATTTAGAATTATGGAACAATTGAAAACACACTTTCTGACAATTTATTGTTGCAAAATTGTTCTGTTAGTTGAGTTTGTCTTGTATTATTGTGACATATTGTGAAGCAATTCACTTTGCCAATAATATACAGTATTTGTGACTGCTACATAATTGTACTTTCAGACTGGACAATTTTGAAGAGAGTATCAACTTGAATCTATAGATATCGGTGATTCAACACGCGCCAATTTGTATTATTTGGTATTCTTTTTCATTAATTCATTATTATTATTCAAAAACATGATTGCACTCATTGTCAAGAAAACGATCGTTGTAGTGAATGTTTCATAGACATAAGCTGTGTACATGTTTCAAAGCAAATTATAAAAAGAACGATACTTTTTCGAAAAATAGATACGGAATGTTCTAACGAATAAGTAAAACCACAATTACAAATGAATACTCGACAATAATGTGTTATCTAAAAAAAGTATAATATATGATGTCAACTTTTACAATATCTTAGTTCTATCTATGACGAATTAACTTGGGAAAGAATATAAGAATTTACTTTATATTATCTATGCACTAATGGAAATTCACGAAAAGACAATGACTTTTCCTTGGAAATATATTATCACTGATGCTTTCATTGCAGCTTTGAGTCTTACTGATCCAACAGATATAAAAATCAAGAAATTTACAAAATACTTCTTTATATGAGTTCATATACTAAAAGTATCTATAAAGAGTACGACCTACAATATCAAATAATAAAGGTATTATCGAAAATTTTGAGGTTCTTAAAGTCTTTATTTGGTTCCACAACACTTTGAAAACACATGAAATAACTAATCAGCGCCTTATATCAGAATATAAGTTAAAAGAAATTAGAAGTATTAAAAACTCCTCTGGTGATGAAAGTTTAACTTTAATATTACAACACAGCATACTTCACTCGATCGTCCGTCACAAAATCCTGAATTAAAAACTTCAGAAGCACGAACAAATTGGAACGCTAATTCATCACGCACGTGCCATGTTACTAATAGAGTTAGAAATCCTGTGGCTGCTGCAGCGAGTTTGCGCAATCAACTTCGGAAAGCTAAAGATGATAGAAAGAAAAAAACACCCGCTCTTGAAGGAGAGATAAACGAGACTTTGACTTTTGATGATGTTTATAATGCAAGGCGGTTACCTAGATCATGGAGATGTATTGGGGATATAAGCCTTGCTGATTTCTGTGCATATTACATTTATCGCAAGAATTTCCCATTCATTAGCCATATCTGAAGCATATTATATCCATCACCTAATGAAATTTGTACGCATACACATCAAACTAGATGAAGCATTAAATATGACATTCCAAGAGTTTATTGACAAAGATGTCAAAGCATGATGATACGAAGAACTTTCAGCATTCTCTTATGCCATTTATCAAAAGATATTAATTTCACGATTTTTTCTTATTCGACGAATTGATTTTTCCATTTCTTATTAATTCCCAATTTTTATGATGTGATTCAGGCAATTCCCAATAGGATTAGCAATATTGTTGCCGTAGCAACATAAAAATCCGCGTAATGCCGGAAAAACTCCAAATAATGTGCAGTTCCCGATTTGGTACGGCTATCACTGTTGAATAATGAGAACTGTCCCGTAATGCTTGAAGCAGATCTGCACAAATTACTATATCGCTTCGAAATTCGCTTCGGTTCTTGTTTCTTTCGTGCCACAACGAAATTGATAGCTTTTATTCTTTTTGTGCTTAACAAAATTGATGACTTTACTTCTTTTGTCTTAAAAGTTGGTGTATATTCTTTTGATTAGTTTGTTGGCCGCGTCAGTAAGTCCAACTCTTTATTTTGTGTTGGTAATAAGCAGAAACTACCCGTATTCCTTTGAAATTCGTGAACCCTCTTTTTTAAGTTTTGTCCCGAATGCACTCTTCGATTGCGCAGGAGACCTTTAGAACCTCAGTGATACCCACTCTTTGTAATCATTCAGTCTAGCTCTCGCTTCTTGTTGCGTCTGTAATTCATTTAGTCCAACTAACTTCCGAATTGCGCGTGACAATATAATTAAAGAATTCTGGAATTTGTTTAATTTTTTTATGAATAAATAGCAATCTGTTACAATCTTATTTGTAGCAACTTCATATGAATAAGGATGTTGATAATTTTCTTTTCTTATTCTTCGCGGAATTCACGCGAATCTTTAACACAATATTAATGACCAATTGTTAATTCTCTCATTGTGCAGAGATGGCAATGCGAACGTGAACAAAAAGATAACATTTTTGTCTTGTTTTAATGTTCTTGCCTCCATTATATAGCCAGTTTTTTCTCTGTTAGCGATGGCATTTGAACTTGGACTCTATCCAACAGTCTTCTACCAATCTGTGGTCTCATCCACCAATTGTCCTATTGCATCCTCTTCCTGGAGGTGGTCGAGCCTGCATGGTATCATCACATTCATCAACGACGTATTTATAGACACGATTACACTTGTGTACCTATATAATAATCAGGAAGGAGAAAGTTTTGTAAACATCAATAAAGGATATCAGTACGGTATGTCAAGGTATTGCAATAGTTTTACCATATGAATCCAATGAACGCACTCTTCAGATGAATCTGCATTTCTAGCAGTTTGTGAAGGTATAATGTCATTGGTAAGGGATTAGTCAGAAGTGACAGTCCATATACTGAGCTCGCATGTGATATATTAGGATGTTGACAAGAGAATCGCTTTTCCCAATGACCATTAAATGCCGCGTATCTTTCCCGATTGGTTCTCGCGTTTATGAATCGTTAGTGCATATGTGTGGCTATTCTTTTGCCAAAACTTTTAAAATTCCTTAACAGTCCCAGTTCCGCGACATCCATAACTAGAAGGTGCGTTTAGCTGGTCTGTCTTCTGACAGATCTTTTAAATTGTTATGGAATATTTATAATACACGGAAAATAAATTGCACAGAAAATATTTTATTCATTAGATCGAACTAATAGTTTTTTTCCCTTTTTTATCAAAAAGGAGACGAACCTGTCTTGCTGTCGAAACAAACAAATTCGGGCAAAAGTTCAGAATGCTAACAAATTTAAGGTCAGGTATTTTATTGTCTCTCTATAAGGAAATGTCATCTTTTAGATAATTGCGGTTGTCCACAACATGTGATGATACAACTTTTAGTAGTTATTCTGTGATCTTTTTAGATCGTATTGTGGTTGCAATATCCATAATTAGGCGATGTAACGCTTTTAGCTTGTCCTCTGCCAGAACTTTTAAATCGTCTTAAGGAGGTCTTTTAGAACTTAATGCAGAAAATTTGCGCAAAATTCCGCCGCAAACATTTTAGGTATGAAGATAACTTTAGTTGTTCTTCGAAGATCTTTGGATCGTCTTGTGGTTTCGACATCCATAACTAGGAGGTGTGACGCTGTTAGCTGTCCTCTGTAGATTGTTATGGATTTTTCTGTTAATCCACAACATTTGATGATACAACTTTTAATAGTCATTCTGAGATCTTATTGTGGTTGTAACATCCATAACTAGGAGATGTGACGCTTTTAGCTAGTCCTCTGTTATGGAATATTGAAAATTGTATTTTATTCGCTAGATCGAACTAATAATGATTATTCATCTTTTTTTTCGCAAAAAAAAGCTCTATGTCAAATTCCGCAAGCATAAACGAATTCACGCGAATGTATAATTATTAACGACTTTCATAAAATAGGATAATATATAGCTTCGCTTCAAAATTCAACAAGAAGATTACTGATTGTTGTATGAATTGTATAACTAATTGTTGAAAACAATATAATACGCTGTAAGTATAATATTTTCTACTCTGGTATTTGGGTCTTTCTATATATAATTCCTACTGCTATTATTTAATTTTTTCATATCATGTGAATACTAATTATATATAAATACTATTCACAATTAATTTTACTAAGAATACATATAAAAAAATCTTTGGATTTTTTTTCTTTTAAAGTATTCTATTTTGTTATTATTTCATTTATTTTTATATTGGTATTATTATTCTTATTTATTTGTTTAAGAACAGCCCGAATATATCTTTGAAAAATCTGTGCATTGGAAACAAAAAGGAACTACACTTAGAAAATGATCGTTTTTACCTTGTCTATAAACGTTGGAGTAATTTGCTTTGAATTTCAACCTGACTTCACGTTCTCAAACTCGTTCAAATTATTTTCTTAGATATTCGACGTTGGTAAATCTTTCAAAGGAATCCATTCGAATGATTATCTTGAAGCAGATTATTATTATCAGCAACTTTTTGTTGCTTTATCTCCGCTAGACAATGCATCGCTATAAATTCGTTTGTGATATTGAGTAATCCTCATTTTTTTGACATATAATACATTTACTACAATCATGCGTATTGTGGATTAAACACCCCTCGCAGTATCTATTCTTTGAGACAAATAACATTTACTATAATATGGGCATTCGATTCCATCTTTGAGTTCGCTGTACATAATGCGTTTATATCGATATATAAACATGAATTGCTTGGAATTACATGTAATAGATTGTGCATATGTGCCAAAAATTTTATTGGTTTATATTATCACGTGAATGAAGTTTTATTGGTAAGCTTTTTCATGTGACTAATTCTAAAATATATATATACATGTAATTAGATCAAACTTTCTTTAATTTTTTATAAACTTATTAATCAAGAATATTTTAATTTTAAAATTTATTTAATTTGAATCAAATGTATTTTAGATGATGATTTTCATTCTATTCGATATTACAAAGTGTCTTTTTATTATAAATAATAGCTTCTTAACACCTGTCTTTGATCACCAGCAACGTGTGTTAAATCTTGCAATATGATTATTTTCATCGTAAATAAATTCGATAAAGTAATATTTTTCAATAATATGATTTCAGCATCAGTTCCGACAATAATTATGCACCATTTGTAGACATTACTTGGTATCAGAAGTCATAATTTCTAATACGAGATTCCTATCATGATTTCGTTCATAGAATGGTGATTCACCAGTTACAATCTCGTATATAAGGCTATAAATACCTGCAACGTTAGTGTATAGCTTTTATTTAGTATTTCTGGATTATATAAGGAATTATACAAAAACTGCAATGAAGCGTCAGGATAAATGCCACTTTCCACAAGTTTCTTTTCGAAACATAAGTAATAAATATATTGTACTTTGTAAAAATTAACATTACTCACATAGTTTATTTTGTATTTTTCTTTTGATAATCATTAATATCAAGTATTCATTCATAGTTGGATTTTAAATTACTCATAATAACTTATTCCAAGGTAAATATCACTGTGCTTTAGAAAAAGAGTATTTTCTTATACTTTAAAACTTGTATTATTTCTACCTCTTTTATAACTTGTTTTGAATTACATAATTTTAACACAATTTCTTGCTGCATTTTTTGAAAATAATGTAAGATTTTTTGCATTGTTTCATAATTCATTGCGAGATAACAATGTAAAACTGGCAGAATCTAGTTACATATATATGTTTAAATCAATCTGAAACATCATTTTAAAAACTAAAAATAATCTTATTTTATGAGTGGAAACAAAAAATTTTTTTAAATATTATTACTGGTATACTCTCTAATAATTAATTAAATTGTATATAAATTATTAAGCGAAAAGAAGATATTAATTAAATTACAAAAGAACAAATATTTAAAGCCTTATATCTATAGATGTAATAAAAAATTGAGAGATATTAAAGAAAAAGAAACAGATATATTGATATTAAAATACAATTATTAAAATTAAAATATATTTTATTTTCAATTTTTTTGATTTATATTTATATATTTTTCAAATTATATAGTTTAATAATAACATTTATTAATAAATTTCTGATAATAATGTGATTAAAAATGTATTGGGAAAAGTTTGGGAGGATGTCTGAACAACAAATCATAATTTTTTTGAAAAATCTTTCAATCTAAACATTGAAGCACTATTTGGAGAGATGCGCCTAATAATATATACGATATATATTGTTTAATGATGAATATAAAAAATGGGGGGGGGATCTAAAACAATCCCGAACATTCATAAACCCGAATGATAAAATCTCGAATGAACAGCATCCTGAAGTAACGAAATCCCGAATGCACGAAATTCCGAAATCGTGATAATTTTAGTATTCCATGCTTTTGTGATTTCAATCGTTCGGGATGCCGTTCATTCGGGATTGTGTTTTACGGGATTTCGACTGTTGTCTGCAGTAGGACAGCATAAAAACATCGATTATAAAATAAAAATTTATAAAATGCAGCAAAAAATACATGAAATAACAAAATTGTTTTAGTAAAAATATTACAATTTACGAAATTTTAATTTTAAATTCTCCTGTCACATTGTGTATTTATATTATTGTCAGAATTTCATTCTCGTATTAATGATATATATTAAAAAAGGTTAATATGTTTTCTTGAGTGAAACGTGATTTTATTCGTCTTAAATTTAAATAAAGGATTTCAATTTTCAAAGTAAAATGATACTTGTTTAATAAACTGTCTTCATTGTATGTTTTATTTTATAAGAAGGAATTTAAAGCAACAACAGTTAAATCTCCATCTTTCAAGCTTGGCTTTATAGGATGTTTTTACTGATACACTTTTATAATCAAAAATATTTATTTGTCCATCTGATAGAACTCATTCAATTGAGTTATTCATACGAAGGTGTCTTGTCACGAACAACAAAAAATGAGAAAAAATACGGAAAGTAGTTGTTAAATCTATCTTGGTGTGATTAAAATTTTACTTGGTTCACCAAAGCAATGGTTTTTTCTTTGTTCCGATTGTCCCAACTTTTGTATTGTTCCGTGCACAGCAAACTATTGTTATGCTTATTTCTATTGTTTATTTTGCAGTTCATTAAATTTATTTCATTCACATGTCGGTTGGTATAATTAACACATTTTATTTTTGTCTAATTTATTGGAGCGGAGTGCTTTCAGAATGAAACATAATTATTTAATGCATCAAAATGGCATGTGATCTAGCCAATAACTAAAGCGAAATTCTTGCGCGCTAGTTCGAAAAATGGAACTCAAACTTTCAACTACTCATTGTAGCTTTAACAAAATATAATTGTAGAATTTTGGAACAATTTATAAAGCAACCTGGTTGGACGAACCAATAATTCTTGGGTGAAAACAAATTTAATCGGTTTGAAGCAATGAGAGGTTGCATTGAAATTATGGCATGATTCAGCGCAAATCACATTAGTTTTATAAACGAGGATAAAATAAATAACCTTCCGATATAGATTCGGATTGCTCTAAGGTGCCAGGTGAAAGAGGAAAATAATGATAATGCATGGCGAATTGAATGATATATTCCAAGGGATGAAAGTGGAATTATTACGAACATTAATTTAATGCTTTCTGGATATATAACGATAATTAATTATTCAAGGAGCGCAAATACTCTAAGATTGCACAAATTTTTTGATCGACCCGGAAAACCAAATCCGAAGAAAAAAAGTGGTGTAGAAAACTGTCTTGGACTATTAATTAAAAATGTCGGGAAGGCATTTGTATATAGTTTTGTCTCATCACCACAATACCCTTACTTTTATGACTTAATGAAAATTGAGAATCCAAACTAGGAATTTGAATTTTTGGTTCATTAACTAATCATGATGAATTTTCCGGATAGTTTTCATTCTTTAATGAGTCAAAAGTGATCCATCAAAAGAATATTGTTTTTTGCTACAATTACCGCGTCGCGTCGTAAGATTTTTTCAGAAATTAATACAACTGCACAATCTATAGTTAAAAAATTACAAACTATAAACTATAACGTCAAGTAACATCTCAACTTTTATCATCAAATAGTCAATACCGGAATTGGAATTTTGCAAAATTATTAAAAATCGTAGTACAAAATTTTATAGCATAATTTTTTTGAAGTTTGCAAAAATGCAATCACGCGAAATCGTGCCTAAACGCATTAGACTCAGATTCTTAAAACTTTTAAATTATTTATTTAATTATACTAATGAATTATAAAATGAAAACTAATAATATTACTACATATTAATGGTGATGATGCTATAGTACATAAGCCCGCCCGAAATTATTTACCAATCTAATTTATCCCCGCAGCCACCATTGCCACACCCAACTTCAACAGTATTTCCCAAGCGTACAACGTTTGGTTTTCGCTCCTTTTTGATATGATTCTTATTAACCATCCACTTTTTGGTTCCAAGTATCCTATCTAGTTCTTCGGTGTGCGGAAGATTTAACCACACGTGATTATCTTCAATTTTAACATCAAACGTCATAATCTTTAGCCCATTATCTCCAAGACATTCGCCTGTCTCAAGGGCAAAGTTCTTTTTATGCATCGGACAACTGACTTTGATGGTTCCATTCTCGTCGTCACCAACTAAACCTTGCGATAGCACGAACGCGCGTTTGTGTGGGCACATGTTTTGTGTTGCGTACCATCTTGTACGTGTATGTGTATTGAACACGGCAATCTGTACATCTCCGTATTTAATAACCTCTCCCCCGTCTGATGGAAAAGTATCAACAGGTGCAATTTTAACCCATGACTTGTCAGTTACTTGTGTACCAGCAGCTTTATACAACTCTTTTACTTCGGATATAGGAAATTCTTTGGGCCAATCAGCCGGTCGTTGTTGACCACGTTCCGTTATGAATTCAATACTCGATTGAGCATCTCCAGTGTTGGCAAATTGGTGGAATTGAGCACGGCGAGCAGGGTCTTTGACAACAGATGTCCACTCGCATTGATATGTGTTGAGGAGGCGAGCCATGTCTTCTTCGAGCTCAGCACATATGCCGAGATGGTCGTCGATTATTACTTTTCGTAGATACTATGTAAATTTTCACGGAAAAGAACGAAACCAAAGGAAAATGGAACCATACATTAAACATAGTTTTGGGTGAAACAAAAAATGAAAACAATGGTAAGAACCTTACCTCTATACCACCTTCCATCTTCTCAAGCCATCGAGCGGTACGTGTGAGTCTGTCAGCAGTGTGAATGTAGTACATCATGAAACGATCCAAATATTTGATACATAACTCTTCGTGAACATCTTTGGCCAGCAAGACAGCATGCTTCGGCTTCGATCCACCATTGCCACATACGTATACATTATACCCCTTATCTGTAGCGATCAAACCAAAATCTTTTCCTTGTGCCTCAGCACACTCTCGTATACAACCCGAAACAGCACCCTTGATCTTGTGTGGAGCTCGAATACCCTTGTACCGATTCTCAATACGAATGGCAAATCCAACAGAATCTCCAATACCATAACGACACCATGTAGACCCGACACAGGATTTGACAGTTCTCAAGGCTTTTCCGTACGCGTGACCGGATTCGAAACCGTTATCTACAAGTTGTTCCCAGATGTCTGGAAGATCTTGCTTGGCAGCACCAAAAAGATCAATACGTTGGCCCCCAGTGATTTTGGTATAGAGGTTATACTTCTTAGCGATCTCTCCCAAGACAATGAGTTTTTCTGGCGTGATTTCACCACCTGGAACACGTGGAACAACAGAATAGCTTCCACCACGTTGAATATTAGCCAATAGACGATCATTCGTATCTTGTATGGTCGCATGATCCAAAATATGATCATTCCATAAACTGGCGAGAATCGATGCAACCGCAGGTTTACACACTTCACATCCATGCGATCCTTTCTTTCCAACAGTCTCGATAATTTGTTTGAAATTTTTTAGTTTCTTGATTTTGATTACTTGAAAGAGTTCGACACGAGTAAACTCGAAATGCGGACATAGGGCTTGTGTTACTTTCTGACCGCATGCTTTCATTTCAGCCTCGAAGATTTCTTGTACCATTGGGAGACAGCCACCGCAGCCGGTTCCGGCTTTTGTGCATGATTTAACTTCGCCGATGGAACGGCACTTGTCGTTGCGTACTGCATCACGGACTTGGCCTTTTGAGACGTTGTTACACGAGCTGTGGATAAGAGGTGGGTGAATATATATATATATATATATATATATATATAACAATATATATAACACAAAGACGTATGGAATTATTTATTACTTACCAAACTTGCGCTTCGTCAGGAAGGTCATCAGCACCCGGTGCCTCACCCGATTTGACGCCGAGGATAAGTTCACCGGGAGCCAGAGTCAATGGTTTTTTTGATTTGCTCAAAGCATGAAGCTTTGCATAGTCATCGGTATCACCTACCATAATACCACCGAGCAAATGCTTCCCATCTTTAGTGAAAATGTACTTCTTGTAAACAAAACCGAACGGGTCCTTGTAAACCAATGGCATAGCATTGTTCTCTTCGGCAAAGTAATCGCCAAAACTGGCGACGTGCACTCCGAGAAGTTTGAGTTTCGTGGACAAGTCACCACCCAAGAAATGTCTATTGGAACCAGGTAGGGCCAAATTTGCGGCAACGACGTCTGCCATTTCGTATCCAGGCGCAACAAGACCGTAGACTACACCAGCATGCAAGACAACTTCACCGATAGCAAAAACATTTGGATCGTTCGTCTGTAACCGGTCGTCAACGAAAACACCGCCACGTGGGTGGGTCAAAATTCCCGATGCTTTGGCAAGTTCATCACGTGGACGAATACCCGCAGCTACGACAACCATATCCACGTCTTCAACTTTATTGTCCTCAAAATGCAGACCTTTCACAGCTCCGTCTTCATCAAGAAGAACTTCTGTCGGTCCCGTGCCAAGAACAGCCTTTAAACCTAGTTTTTCAATCTCTCGAAGTAGCATCGTACCACCTTCTTGGTCAATTTGACGTCTCATGAGATGAAGATTTCGCTCTACAATAGTAGTTTGTAATCCCAAGTCCAACAGTGCCTTAGCAGCCTCGAGACCGAGTAATCCGCCACCAATAACAGCACCGCGTTTTGCCTTGGCGCTGTAAGCAATTATGCCGTTTAGATCGTCTATCGTGCGATATACGAAACATCCTTTCGCATTGATATTCTCAACAGGCGGGACAAATGAGCTCGACCCGGTAGCAATAATACATACGTCATAAGAGACTTTGTTTCCACAGGCAGAGTGAACGACTTTACTGGCTCGATCGATAAGAGTCACCTTGTCATTTGTGTAGAGAGTTATGTTGTTTTCTTTGTACCACGTTTCTGGCTGCATTAGAAGTCGTTCTTCCGAGCGGTGAGTGAAATACTGGGTTAGGCCAACTCTGTTGTAGGCAACTGGGAGTTGCACAGGGAGTGTTAATGAGAAGTAAAGAAATTCGCGGACATGATCTGAAAGGAGGATGATGACAAAAATCAAAAAACTGTAGTTACCTCGACTCTCTTCGCAAAATGTTACTATGTTAAATCTTTTTTGGGCATCATATTTTAGAAGTTTCTCAATAAAATACAAGCCAACCATTCCCAATCCGACAACAACAACGGTCTTTCTGTCATTAATTATAACTCCATTCGTAGCCATGATTTTTTCTTTTTCTCAAAGTCTCCTCAAAACAAAAATTGTTCACGAATCACAAAAAAATTGAAGGAACGAATTCAAAATTCAAAGCGGCAACATTAATTTGATAAGATCCAGGGTTCCAAAAATCAGGTTTGAGGGTGTTGCGAAACGGAGGTGAGACCGAACAAAGAATGAACTGAAATGGAAATGATAAAGATTTTCCGCAAAAAATTTTAGAGTGACGAAGATAAAACAGAAATCCATTGTCCTGCAGGTGAGCCTTATCAGCACGTTATCACATTAATTAAACTTTTTTGTGTATCATTTTGTTTTTTTTCTTAATTGATAAGATATGAAGTATGCAGTAGATCTCCCCCGAAAATACCCGAATGTCAAAATTGGTGTTAGTTATCAACAATATCATATTAATATTGTAATAATAATACTAATAATATTAGAATAAGAAAATTATTTATTTTAATTATATAAAACGACACGACGATGATAAATCACACCACTGGTGTTAAACACCAATAAGATCAGATTGGCAAAAACAGATGTTTAAACCTAATTTAAAAAAATAATTTATCAAGCAAAAGTACAGAAGCCTTACCTTAGATCATACTGAAATTTACCAAAACACAAAGAACACCGCAAACACTGATCATCCATATTGGTAAACTTCTATATCAGACACCAAAATTCTCACGCTTCAAATATCAAATATCAATCACTTTATGACACATATCTTGATGTTCAGTGATCCAATAGCTTGACATCCAGTGATCAGTTTCAAACAAAAATATTACCATTCGACCAGACGAATGGTAATATTTTTGTTTGAAACTAATCACTGGATGTCAAGCTATTGCGTCCTAAAGTGATAGATTATTCATCCTAAAGTGACCGATTCTTTTTTTTGACGATCAATTTTTAATGATCGACAAGATATACTAAGACGGATATTTGCTTGAACCAGATCACTAAATGTCAAGATATTGCATCATAAAGTGACAGATATTTGAGCACTATAAATTTATTGTTTTTATAACCTGCCAGATCATAAAACCAAGATTATAAAATTTCAATTTTATTATTGTTTTATAAATTAATATATAGTGACAATAAAAGTAATAACTCAGAGGCTAAATTTATTAATAAAACATAGTGAAAATTGAAGAAATAATTTTTATTTTTATATCAAAATAAAGTTTATCGGTTATAGTTTAACATATATTTTTTTCAGATTTTTTAGATTTTTTCTGAAAGAGTTGTTCTAATTGTAAAGTTAGTATAAAAATTTTATTAATTAAATTTCATTTTTAATTAGTAAAAATTTTTGTATCAATTTTACAATTAGAACAACTCTTTCAGAAAAAAATCTAAAAAATCTATGTTAAACTATAATTTATAAACTTTATTTTGATATAAAAATAAAAATTATTTATTTTCATTATATTTTATTAATAAATTTAGTTTCTGAGTTATTATTTTTGATAATTATTATATAATAAATTATAAAATTAATTTTTTATATATATAATTAATATATATAAATTAACTTTTCTTGATTTTTTTAGTTCTATTATAAGAAAGTAATTTTAATTATATAATAAACTATATTATAAATAAAAATTCTTCTCAATAATAAAATATAATTTGATTTTATTTATATTTAATATTAAAGATACTTTGTCAAATTATTTTAAAAAATTTTAGATTTGATTACTTAATAATTAAACAAGTTACTATTAATTAATTTTTTTAATCAAATTTATTAAAGTTTTTTCTAAATTTAATAATTTGATAAAGATAGAATCTATTTTTATATATAATTATAAGAATATTCTATATAAAATAAAGAATAATTTTTTAAAAATAAATTATTATAAAATATATTAAATTTATTTTTATAAGTATATAATTATAAATTTTATAAGAATCAAGTTTTTTATCTTTTAATATATTTTTATAAAGAAATATAATTATATATATCTTTATAAAGATTTTTAAAATATAATTTATTTAGTTAAATATTTATCTTTAATTTTAATATTATGAAATTTTTTAAATTAAAAAACTCTAATTTTAAATTATAAATATTCAAAACTTATAAATTAAAATTCAAATTAGTAAATAATATTATAAAATTATATATTATAAAAATTAATATATCAATTTTATATAAATTTTATTATAAAAATTATAAATATACTTTTATTAAAATAAAAATTCTTATTATAATAAATATATAAATTAATTTTGACTTTATAAAAAATTTTTAATTTAGAAATTTAAATAAAACAAATTAGTTTAATTAAATATTAAAATATAATTTATATTATCTAAATATTTATTTTATCAAAGAACTTATAATAAATTTAAATAATATAATCAAATCTTTCTATAAGAAATCAAATATAATATATACCTAAATAAATATATATATATATTTGAAACTAATCAAAATATATATTAATAAAGAATAAATATAATATATATATATATATATATATATATATATATATGTATATATATATTTGAAACTAAATCAAAAATATATATTAATAAAGAATAAATATAATATATATATATATATATATTATATTTAGAAAGATCTGTTTTTATATATATAATTATTAATTGAGAATTATAAGTATATATTATTTATACAATATATATGTGAGATTCGACAATAAAATAGACGAAATCATTATCATGCATAGCAATTCTAAACTGGAAGAGATTATGCAATGTAGGAGAAAGGATAAGACAAGATGGATGGAACTGGAGAAGATTATGATTATGCAATGTAAGAGAATATTTTCCGAATGATAAGACAAGATGGATGGAACTGGAGGAGATTATGATTATGCAATGTAAGAGAATATTTTCGAATGATAAGACAAGATGGATGGAACTGGAGGGATTATGATTATGCAATGTAAGAGAATATTTTCGAATGATAAGACAAGATGGATGGGACTGGCGGAGATTATGATTATGCAAGATGATTCTGGGATTTTCTTACGATAAGAAGCGGCTAATTACGTACAAATGAGTTCATGTTGTTTGTGCCTGATAATTATTTTGAAGTTCACGGATCTTTTAGGAAAATTTCTTGATCATGCAAGATGATTCTGGACTTTCTTGCGCAAATAAGTGATGTTTACAGATAATGATTTTTGATGCTCACGGACCCATTATTTTGATTAACTTTAATCATTTCGCGCGAGATCATAAACTTGGTTAAAAACTTGATTTATGAATTACTAAATACGACAAGAGAATGGGACGCGGAGGATAGCAGAAAATTGGAAATCACATGTTTATTTGGAATTCAAAAATTCATAAATATCTTATTTTTTTTGGAAAAGATGTACAATTGTTACATGTACATGTGTACATGTCTAACTAAAAAAATTCATTCTTATCTTAATGACAAAAAAACTAGGCTAATTACAAAGGTAATTATAATTGTGCTTTATCGTTATAGTAAATTATGTTATATTATCATTCGTAAAAGAAAAGTGCTGGCTAAAGTCATGTGAAGCCAAATCCTTTGTAAAAATGTTAACAAAGAAAACACCTTATAGATCATGATTTTAATTTTACTGATCAAAGAAAAGAAGTCTGCCTGCTCATGACTTAATTTATCGCTTTCCAAACTCTATGATCCTCCTACCATTGACCTTGAGAAATAAAGTGGTGAATGAGACACACATACAAAGAATTCCGATGACCATAAAGGCGTAAGGCATATTTTTTTCGTACGCTCTAAAGACGACGATCAACAAAAGTCCACCTAAGTTGCCCCCAGCTCCGACTAGGCCCGAGATAGCACCGACTATCGGTGGGTCAACGAAAGGGACGATACCAAATGTGGAGCCGGCGCACGCCTGGAAAGATAATTTGTAGGTTTTGACAATTAGTTATAAGTCAATGCGCATAAATCCAAAACGTATCAAATGAGAGCAGCGGTAACATATACAAACCTGTGTAAAATAACTGAAGAAGACTAGCGCGATGAGTGCTCCGGTCAGTGAGTCGCATGTATATCGAAAGACAATCAAGAAGACGCCTTCACAGCATAGGATGCAGAACTGCGTAATCATACGACCTCGGATACCCATTCGTTTGTTGGCGGCATCGGATATGAAACCACCCGAAGGCCGAGAAAGGAAGTTCATGAGCCCAAATAGCGCGCCAACTAAACCTCCGAACGTCTGACTGAGGCCAAATTGATCAACGAAGAAGAGACCAATGACGTTGTCGACGGCAAGCTCGAGTCCGAAACTACAGGAATACATGCACATGAGGATGATGACGTTGTGGTTCTTTAGGGCCCGTAAGAAATCCTTAGGTTTTGGTCGTGATGTAGGTTTTACATTCTGTTTCTCGGAATCGCTATCAACACTGGTTTCGTTGTCTTGTTTTTTCTCTGCAATGATTTTTTCTGAGTCTTCTCTTTTTTCATTATTAACCTTCTCATTATCAACTTTTTCATTGTTAACTTTTTCATTATTAACCTTTTCGGTATTTGGAACCCAATGTTGAGACCAATCGCCTTGCGGGCAGTCATCGGCAAAAAGAAGATTGCATATACCAACTGTAACCAGAAGAATGACAGGTACAACTAATACGACACGCCATGACTGATGAGGTGTCAGACCAAAGTCGCAGAACAAATTGAATATCACAGGCAAAATCAGATATGTAATTCCTGCCCCCATGTTTCCCCATCCACCGACCAAGGCATTCGCACTTCCGACAGTACGACTACTAAACATTTGTGTCGTCCAGAATTGGCAGGGAACAAAGGCGGCGCCGAGGAAGCCAATAAAGAAACGTACGATTATCAGACTAGTTGCACTTGTTGCCAGGCCTGCGAGTCCGGTAGGAATGGAACCGATAATGAGTACTATGGCCATGACGCGTCTTGGACCCAATTGATCGCATAAGGGTCCGACGAGCATACGGAAGAGAACGGTAGCGGCGACTGAGGCTATGTTGGAATTATTAACGTTGGTTGGACTAAGGCCGAGATCTTTTCTTATTGTTGGCATCAGTGGTGAAATAGCGAACCAGCCAGTGAAGGCGACATTAAAAGAGAGCCATGAGAAGTGAAAAGCTCGCATGTAAGGCCGTGCGAAGCTAAAGAGATTTATTCCATCAGCCTTTTGTGTAGATTCTTCAATGGGAATTGGGTTTGCGAATAGGTTTATCATTATGATTTCTTCGTGTTTTTCTTTTGTAATATGTAACTTTCTTTCGTTATGTGTCTTTTTGGCTGTTGGTAAATGCCAAAGTCCGAGAGCAGTTCAAATCAAGCCTGGAAAAATGGGCTTTCTCTAAAATTGCAAAGTATGGAGACTTTAACATTTTTCTCAGTGGAACAGTTCCAATGAAAAATAGGGTTCGTTCAAAGATAGACGTTTCAACAACCCCAGTAATTAACGATAACTCTTATCTTTTTAGGAAAACAAAAATTTCTTGATTGAATCGGGAAACGGTCGGGTTAGATTATGCCTACAGTATGCATCTTTTTTTCTGAAGATAAGTATAGACTCATTTTTTTTGGTATCACAATATAAATAAGCCAAACCTCGTGAGGTAAAGGCTTGCATATCATGTAAAAGGGAGAAAGAGATAAGGATAACGATATAACGATATTTATGTCGTACATTCCCGAAATGAAAAATGTGATCAACCATACAGATAATTATCAATTGTTTGACATTTTCCACAAACATTTAACAGATGACATTTTTGACATATTACACAACATCGAACAAACATTGACATACAACATACATGTACTTTCCTTACATGTACTGATAACGATAAGAAATGACACTCCTTATTTCGGCAGGTGTACAAGTACAATGCACCATTTTTAATTTTAAATTCGTTATCTTTGTATTGACATGTGAATACATGTATTTTCTTATCATTGGTTTCGTTTCGGTGCTCTCTATTCGATCGGCGAAAAAATGGTTGATTACAAAAGCGTTATCGTGATTTACTTCCCAAACCACAAAAACTCTTCATCATGACGACAGTAGCTAAACTCCACAAAGAAGAATTTAACATAATTGAAATAATGAACGGCATGAACGTCCTAACACAGGGAAGCCCTATCAAGAAAAAAACTGACGAAGAAAAATCTACCTCCCTTATCAAAATAAATGAAATTGATCCTCGGGACGTTGGCACACCTGATGAATGGATTCCACGGCAACAGAGTTTGATAAGGTTGACTGGAAAGCATCCGTTTAATTGTGAGCCGCCATTATCAACGTTGATGGAACAAGGGTTCATAACGCCAAACGCATTGCATTATGTGAGAAATCATGGTCCTGTGCCGAAACTCAGCTGGGAGACCCATCGTTTGGTTGTTGAAGGGTGAGTTTTCATGAAACTTTGGTAGTAAACATTGAACTTGCTCAACAGTTTGTTAATTCTCACTTCATATTAACAGCCTAGTCTCGAAACAAATATCCCTAACAATGGACGAAATCGTTCGTCTTCCATCCCGCGAAATTCCAGTCACCCTCGTCTGCGCCGGCAATCGTCGCAAAGAGCAAAACATGATCAAACAAACCATTGGTTTCAATTGGGGCGCCGCCGCAGTAAGCACCGCAGTCTGGAAAGGAGTTCCTTTGCGCCACGTGTTGCAAGCGGCTGGTGTTGATCTCGATAATGACGAGCCACGGTTCGTTTGGTTTCATGGTTGTGATAAGTTACCTAACGGATATTACGGCACGAGTGTTAGCCTCGATTGGGCCATGAACGATGCGAGCGATATTTTATTGGCATACGAGATGAACGGGGAGCGGTTGCCACCTGATCACGGCTTCCCCTTACGGGTCATCATTCCCGGATGTATCGGCGGAAGAATGGTGAAGTGGCTTGCAAAGATCACTGTAGCGGATAGAGAATCCGATAGTTATTACCACTACCATGACAATCGCGTACTTCCACCACACGTCGATAGCGAACGCGCAAACAAAGAAAAATGGTGGTACATACCTGACTACATCATCAACGAACTCAACATCAACTCTGCCATCACTTCACCTGCTCATGATGAACGGATTCCACTCTCGAGCTTCGTGAGCACGTCATACTATACCTTGAAAGGATACGCATATAGCGGAGGTGGAAGAAAAGTCACCCGTGTTGAAGTTTCAATTGATAATGGAAAGACCTGGATTCTAACGGAGTTAACGTACCCGGAAATTACACACCCATTGGTGATGGCGCGAAAGAATAAACCACTGAGACGGCATTGGTGCTGGATTTTTTGGGAATTGTCAGTGCCAATCTTGTCATTGATTCGGTGTACAGAGATTTTGGTTCGTGCTTGGGATGCGTCACAAAATACGCAACCTCAAGATCCAACTTGGAACGTTATGGGGATGATGAATAATTGCTACTTTAGGGTAAAGATTCACACTGTTATGGAGGGGAAGGAATTCGCGTTAAAGTTTGAGCATCCTACTCAGCCGGGTAATACACCTGGTGGGTGGATGTTTAGGAATAATATGAAGCAGGAAATCTCTGAAGCGATTAATATTCCACCAAAAAGTAAAGGGGCCGTCAACAACTGCAAAACGTATACCATGGCCCAAGTCGCAAAACACGACAACGAAAATGATTGTTGGATTGTAATCGACAGCAAAGTCTACGACTGTACAAAATTCCTCGACCAACACCCCGGCGGCGCCGATAGTATTACCATCAACGCTGGCACAGACTGTTCAGATGAGTTTAATGCTATCCACTCGTCTAAGGCACGTAAAATGTTGGAAGATTATTACATCGGTGACCTTGACGAATTGGAATCCGCCCCTGCTCCTGTTTTATCAAAAACACCAACACCAGCACCAATAGCCACATCTCAACTAGAATCTCCAACTCCATCAGAATCAACCATCCAACCAGAGAACTTGATCGCATTAAATCCCAAAGTCTGGCTTTCCTGCCAGTTAATTTCAAAAAAAATTCTCAGCGATGACACCCGCATATTCCGTTTCTCCCTTCCCTCTGAAAAACATTACCTCGGTCTCCCACCTGGTAACCACATCTTCCTTCGCGCAGCAATAGAAGAGAAAAGCATCATCCGCGCATACACACCCGTAACATGTTCAGACGAAACTCCAGGCTATTTTGAATTGTTAATTAAAGTATATTTTAAGAACGTTCATCCGAGGTTCCCGAACGGGGGTCTTATGACACAACATTTAGAGGGTCTTGCAATCGGGGACGATATCGAAGTTAAGGGACCGTTTGGATCGTTTGTATATCTTGGCCGAGGGCAATATCAAATAAAGTCAGGTGTTGCTACATCTAAACGGTCATGTTCTAAAATAGGATTGATTGCTGGTGGGTCCGGGATTACTCCAGTGTACCAAGTAATCAAGACTGTCCTTAGTGATCCCGAGGACAAAACAGAGCTCTTCCTCCTCTTTGCAAATCAAACGGAAAAAGATATATTACTCAGGCAAGAACTCGATAATCTTGCGTCTAAGCATCCGAATTTCAAAGTCTGGTACACGGTCGATCGTCCACCCAAAGATTGGAAGTATAGCTCTGGGCATATTAACGAGGAGATGCTTAGAGAGCATCTTCCGGGTCCATTGCCCAAGGAACAGACCATTACTTTAATGTGTGGACCTCCACCTATGATGGATTATGCCTGTATTCCGAATTTGGTGAAGATTGGATTTTCTGAGCGTGAATATTTTAAATTTTAGATGGGATTGGAAATTGGGATTTTTGCTCGAGTGCATAATTATTTTTGGTTCTCAAAATTGAACTTTCCGGTTTAGAATACTTATATTTGTAAATTCATAAGAAGAGAAATGTAAAAAATCAAATTAAGCCTCTTCCCTCCCCCCGGCACCTGTATCATAAACAATTAACGACAATTACGGTGGCTCCCAAATTAATACCCACTGAGTTTAAATTACATTTATAAGCTATCGAGAACTTTTATGAACAAATTGTAAATATATACATTAGATGCTTGAATCTTGTATTGTTTATTAATACTAGTTTTAGATTCGAAACTTTTCAGAAAGCAATTAAGCTCTACTTGTTATAAAAAAATACTTTGTAATATATTAAATAATATTTATTCTTTATATCAAAAAAAAATTTAAAAAAATTCATAGTCATTAAAAATATGTTCATAATTTTAAGCTTCGATAATCCAAACAACATTTTTATAAATATGTCTATTTTTAGTTATGCTTTTTGATATTAAAATACTGTAAAAAGATAAAAATTCAAAAAATTAAATTTTTAAGTTTTAAAAAAATTATTTACTGTGACACGAAAAATTTCTGTTCTATTAATAGAAATTTTTCTTAGCATTGGTACATGTAGAACAGAAAGTTTCTTTTTTAAATCCAGTTGGAAAAATATTGATAATGAAAAATAAAAGTGTTCTGATACAACGAACCTAATACAGTCAGGTCAGACTCCCTAAATGCACGCATTATGTTTATCCCCATAATAGTTCCATATGGATTATTCATATTTATTTGCCATTAATAATTAAAAATTATAAAATATTCGCGTTTTTTCTTTTTCAATTACTATGCTCATCTAAGACATTTAAGGTTTGTTTACAAACAATGTCATAACGGTTTTTAATAAAACAAAATTGATGACCCGGTCTCAGTCAACGCCATAACTATTAAAAAAACCACCTTTCTATGTATTTACGGGAAATTTCGCGTCTGTTCTGTTCAACACCGCGATTAAATTAGTTATCTATTGTTCCTGATTCCAGTTGGTGCCGAGTTATCACATATATCAGTTATCCAATCGCTAAATGTTTTATTCAATTCGAATTGAATTGGATAACTGATATATGTGATAATCAGCACTAACTGAGGTTTTCATAAAGATACGTTTTACACAGTCAATTTTTGACTTCCAGAATTTAGAGGGTACTGCATAGTTGTTGATTTTCCAGAATGCTGATCAACTATGTTTATAAAAATTCATTCCTGTTTATTTTTCGTTGATTCATTTTTCTTCAGTTATATCGACATATACTTCTTTTGTCATATATTACGTTCTATTCCCATATTCATTTTATTCTCTCGTAATATACTTCGTTTTGTTCTTCGTTTATGCTCATTTGTCTTATGTTTTGTGCTATCCTTATTATATTTATTTACGGAATGCATTTACTATTCGTATTGCCTCATCAAACTTCATGAAAGTGTAAAGAAATTTGGCAAAGCGACTACCGTAACGCTGCAGAAATCCTGGTGTTTCACTTCGCTTTTGTGGACGTTATTTTGTTCTTCGCGAAAATGGCCGATTGCCCGTTCTTCATCGTTCTGGTCCCCCACGAAAAATTTCAATTGATATGAATCGCCAAATCGGCAGGTTGATAAATAAAAACAAATTTTTACGATAGCAAGTAAATGTGCCAGACTCGGTTATGTTGCTGGTTTACCAAGATGTGTCTCTCTTCTTAAATCCCAAGCAAGAGAAAACTGGTTCCAATGGACAGAAAAACATCTTAATGGATAACCTTTTAAAAACTTCATAGGTGCGGCGTGATTTGTGCACATTTTCTGACAATAATCTCGAGGTTTATCATCCGAAACACGTTCTTCCTTGACTGCCATATAGCCCCGATCAAAAAAGATCGTAACACAGAAAAAAGTGTACCACGTAAAGAGAAGTGGAAAAAAATTTCCGGATAAAATCATTCTTCAATGTATAAGCGGTATGCCGGATCGTGTCTAAGCATGCATTTGGTCATATGAAGTATTTGATGAGGCAATACGAATAGTAAATGCATTTGGTCATATGAAGTATTAAGTTGCTGTGGACATATGTAGCCCCTGCTTAACGTTATTCTGAAGACAATTTTTATTTTATAATAAAAATTTAGCTAGATTCATTTCTGTTTAATTTTTCGCTTTTGTTGTTATTGTTCTCATAATTAATATATACTTATGTTTTTTCGTCATATATTTCGTTCTATTATTATGCTCGTTCTTTTGTTCTATCATATTCATTAAATATTCTTAAGACATGAATTTCGTTCTGTATCGTTTAAGGGTAAATCAATCAAATCGCGAGATCAATGTGTGTAACGGAAAAATTCAAAACACATTAATTCTATGAAAATGTTCCTTGTTCCTTATTCTAACGAAATGTTATTAATATTTCATATCTTGCGATTTGATTGGTTTACCCCTTAAAATAACACGTGACAGTCACTTACGTAGATCTTAAATTAGTCAGTATATGTTTTATTGAATTCAAAATTAGATTCATCACGCACTATTGTCATATAGCTACTTGCATATGACACATGAAATCATTTGCCTCCTACATGTACATGAACAAGATATAAAAAATCTTAGATTATGCGATACGTTTCATTGGCGTTTAACATGAAATCCTATAACGTTTTAATTGTACCACTCAACGATTTTAAATACATGTACAAATATTCATATCCTGTTTAAGGAAAGTATCATCCATTATAGTGAACATTAACAACTGCTGTTCAGAGATCCCGATTCGATTTGTAGTGTTTTTCCATTAGAAATTAATAAATGAATCGGTCATTAAGTATGCAAGATTTCGACAACGTAAGTGATCCGATTTATATTATTTTTGCTTGATAAATGATTTAAATATCCTATAATCAATATTAAGTTCTGAAAGCATGATTAAAAATCCATTTTATTGGCTAAAAGCCAATATATCTTTTAATAAAAATAAAAGTACCATAAGTTTACATATAAGCAAAATTGGACTTTTTCTTATTTGAGCAATATAAAAAAATTTTTTGTAATCAATTAATCAAATGGATTTTTAATCATGCTAGTTCTGAAGAACAAAGTTATATTCTTATTGAAAAAAATTACAGATTTCTTATAAACAATGTAAAAAATCTCGTAACTTTATTGATATGTACATGAGCCTGTTGATCTTACATAATGGAAAAAAACAAAAG